TTATTTCCATTCTCTTTCCTGTATCTGGGGGAAAGAGAGAGAAAAAGGGAGAATCAGTTTTGCTTGTTTGTTTTAAAAAAGAGAGTGACGTGGTCACATTGCATAGTTAAGAATCATAATCAGCTTTGAATCATACAGGAAGAAATGAAGCATAGGGAACAGAATAGTCATACCCACCTTCTCATAGAATATCTCTATATCACTAATACTTCTTTTCACAATATGAGCATCCATCTCTTTCTAAGGATGGCTCACTGTAGAATTGTCCTTTTCCATAGTCTTACACTATTCTTTTAATCATTCGAGTTTGGAACTATTGGAATATTTGGCCTGTTACTTTCCCTCATCAGAGTGACTAAGTCCTATTTTTGCTTTCAGTATCTGCTAAATGTGTATTTCTTTGCCCTTTCTGCACACATCTTAATGATCACATTAGTTCTTTTAATCTTTGATGTTGTCCAGTTAATTATTTTGGTATATTATCTTTTAATATAAATTTGCCTTTTCAACTTAATTTGGAGCTTCAGGCTGCAAAGGTACCCTGATTCATGTATTCCTCTGTTATCCAGGGTGCTTGGCACAGTCCCTAGCTCATAGTGGATCACTGAATACATTTTTGCATATATTTGTTTGATCCTAACCCTTAAAAAGTGTATAGTACTTTATCCTGAGGAACAATTTCTGACTTTGTTCTAGTCAGCACTCCCATCTATGTCTCAGAAAATATAGTATCCTGGAAAATTCTGGCTTTTGGAGTGTGTGTGTGCGTGTGTGTGTGTTTTCTGCCTTTGAATGTAAATACACAGAAACACACACATTCACACTAAGCAGGAGTAGAGTTACATTTTAAAACAGTGCTTTGTAGGCAGCTCAAGTGAGAGTTCATGTGGTTGAAAAATCTCCATTCAGGAACGATTATTCACTATTGAGTATATCCTAGCATTATCTTTGGTACTTTGAAAACAAATGAAACAAGGCTACTGTCTTGAAAAGAACTCGTGTTGTCTACAAGGAACTATTGTAATGAGGTATTTTAAATGGCAAAACAAGAGTCATTAATTCCTCTTAAGATACAGAGACTTCAGTCATGAGATACCAGTTGAGAAGTCTTGAACAGTGAGTAGGTACTTACCTGGCAGATGGAATTTTAAAACAAGGAGCCTCTAACAAGAGAGAAGCATTTCTACAAAATAACACAGTGCTATGAAAAGGCATGGCATGTCCTAGCAATAGTAATCAGACCAAAAGCAGCAGGAGACGGGTTAGCAAGGAAGACCCAGCTCACCACGCGTGTTGTATACTAGACAAAGGATTTTATCTACTTCCCTAGATGAGAAGAAAGCTTTACAGTGAAAATTAGTGGATTCTAATTAGTGTGAAAAAATTAAACATTTGACAAACAACATCAATGTGGAGATGTAAGTGCAGTTGTATAGTTTAGAGAATAAGACCCATGAGAAAGGAATTTTCCCTCTCTGAGAGGCTGTTATAAAGCAGGGAGTGACAAATTATTTTCAGTTCTCACTGAGGAAAAAGTAGGAAGATATAGGCTTGAATATCAGCAGAAGAGAAAATTACATACAGAAGGGGTCTTTCACAGAGTGATTGAGTGTGACTGACACAGATCAGTAAAATGTTTTCTCCAGCTCGCTGGCTGTGTGCTGGTGTCTGTGTACTCACTGTGTGTTCAGTCTGATTTCAAAGACATAGCGAAACTGAAGAGTTTCAGGCTCATTTGAGAGTATGTCTAATGAGGGTTATTCTTAGTTATCAATTAGTTATTTACATATTTTGCTGTCTTAAGTTTGGGAAGTATATTTGTTCATATAAAATATAGAAACTATCTTTGGCAAAATAACATCCAGTTTCATTACTAAAAGAGAAATCATGAGGCTTCATTATAACAATCAGTGTTCTGTTAAAGGTTATTTTGTATTCATGTATGTCTCATTTCTGAAAGTCATGAAATATTAGGTAAATAAAACTCATTGGAATTCAGTTATTAATCTTTATGTGTAATGTTTATTGGTCAGATGATTATAATTAAGACTGCTGTATAGTTTGTTAAATGATGACACTGTCAGTTAATACAGTGACTGATACTTCTATTATGGTTATTATGTGATACTAAGCTTATCAAAATGCTAGAAAATCTTTTTTTTTTAGCATTTTCAAGTATTTCTAATGTCTGGAACTGATGTTTTTATTTTTGTTTCCAGATGCAGGCAAGACATAAAATTGTACAGTGACCATTTTATTCAGCCTTTGTATCTTATAAAACAGGAATCATTCATCTGTCTGTATTATTTTCCTGCTTGTTGGGGCTAGGGAGACGATGAGAGGGAGGGCAGAGGCAAGCATACAAACATGTGCTTTGCTTCTGAATAGAGGGGGCCTTAAAATGCTTACAGCATAGTTTCCACTGAAACTTAAGCAATCTGGGCATGTATTATTAGGATATTTGATGATTATTTAAATTTTAAGATTACTTCAATTAAGCAGATATCAACTAACTCAAATAGTTTGAAATTGATTTTGTATACCTACTTGGATTTGAATATGTACATATTACATAACATAAATAATATACATATAGTGTGTGTATATATCTATATATATATGCCCCAAATATATATATATAGCTAGCATGTATGGAAGGAAAAATTATTGGATAAATGCCCTTAACTAGTTTACCTGCTGAATGTGAATGTTCTTAAGGTGCGTCTTGTGCTGACATTGAACAAGGCAATAAGGCCTAAGATATGGAGAATAACTGATGTGTGAATGATATAGATTTGGTGAGGAAGACTGATAACATAATAACATAGAGCAAAAAGTTCAACAAATAGCATTTTTATATGATATATTTTATATATTGCATGTTTTAGGGGCACTCCTCTAAGGTCAGAACTATGGAAAAGAGCTGAAAACATTACTTATTTTTCATGATTCCTTTTCAATTTGAAACATTAAAGTGGACTCTCTGTATGAAGTTTTCTAAAAAAATAAATATTGCAATTCAGATTAAGCAGTTGTCTCGAAGACCAACTATGTTTTTTCTCAGCTTGACAATATAAGTTCTTGGCCATGTTTGTTTCTGCTTTGAGCAGAATACTATGATTCTAAAATAGCTTGTGCATGCTAGCTTGGCAAGCCTTTCTGATTTCATCAAGTGTGTTACAGTAAAGTATATATTTCAAGAGCTTAAATTTTTTCGATGCAGAACAGTTCAATGTCAGTGAGAAGCAAAAAAAAAAAAAAAAGACACAAAAATTGACATTAGAAACACCGTGCCACTTTTCTATTTCTTTATTTGCATTCTAGTGTTAAGTTACATGCATTCAAATAATTATAATATGTATAAAATTTGGTGATCTGAAAAACTACATGGGTTTTTGTTGTTTGGGGTGCTGCGTGGGGCTGTTTTCTTCCCTTCATAAAGTTCATATAAACTATAGATCAGATTCCTTTCCTTGAAGAACATGCATCTGTAATTCCCCATACATCATTTTTAAGGATTTAGGAGCTGAATGCTTTGCAAGAAAAACGGAGTCTTAATTTTCTTATAATGTGGAACGTTCAAGGTACTCTAAAAACAATGCCCTTTGTGAACCTATAACACAGTAATCCTGGGTAAAGACCTCTGTTTCAGAAAGAGGGCCTCCCATTGATTCCCCCACAGCTGCCAGCCTTATTTAAGAGAACTTGCCCTTGAGAATTGGGTTGCACTTTGTTCTTACAGTTTGTCCTTGAATGCTTGCATTTGATCTTGTGGTAGTTAGAAGGGTTTAGTGGATCAGCATGATCATGCAAAATTTTAAATATTTTTCCTTTATGATACAAGAGACTCCTAGAAATTCTAAATGAAACAACTGTGACCCTGGAACTATCAATTCTGTACCTGCTGTGGCTATTTATTTGGGGCCTTGGGACTAATATATTTTCAGTTGTCCACATCATCACAATGTAAATGACTTGTAAAAGGTGCAGTACAAAACAAATTCAGTATGGACCTGATTTATTAAATGCTATGTGTTTTTCATTTTAGCCTCTGGAACAATAAGGATTAATTTACTCTGTAATTACCTAAATATCCTCTGCAGCCTTTTCATAAATCTGCTTGTGAAGAATACTCATTTATTCTAAACAGAGTAATCCTGAGAGCTCAAAACCTTGAATCAGTATGAACATCAGTGGACAAACCCATCATCTAAGGATTATAGAATTAAAACATTCAATAGAATGAAAAAACTTGATACTTTATGCTGTATTTGGCTTTGATTCTAAGTAAATCCTTGATTTCATTTTCAGCTTAGGTTAGTCAGAATTGTATTACAGGACACACTAGATTCTCATCATGTTTTTTGCCCTGTACTTTAAAGAATTATTATCCTTGTAATTATGACATTTCTTGTCTCATGTCCTCAAAGAGGAAATATAATATATAAGCAGAAAGGTAAAACATAAAATGTATCATATTATCATGATTGTGGGTGAGATTCCTTTTATAGTCCTGGGTAAGAGCAACACTGAGAATTCTTTCTTCATGGCCTGGCTAAATAAAGAAGAATAAATGCATTTTTCTTTTATCTTAGTTTGTATCATTAGTGTCTAGAAATAAACATAAACTCACAAATGAACCCAGCTTGTAAGAGTGTGTTTGTAATGACGAACAGACTGCTAATAACATATGCACACATTAACTTGTACCATTGCTATCAATGCTTAAATTAATGCTCATTAATTAGTTCATTTTTCTGTGGTGGTTTTAGGCATTTTTGAAAGTATAGATTAAGTTTTAATTTGATGCTTTTCTTAGTCATCTTTCTCGCTTTTAAAATAGAGAGCATTGCTTCTAGACCCCATTAGGAACCTACTCCATACACTTGTTCTAATTTGAATGTGTTATAGTAAAGTCAATTTGTGCATTTCTTTCATTCAGGGAAAAAAAAATCTGTATTTAAAACACTAAACAGTTTGTTGTTATTGTTTCCTTGCAGATCAGAGATACTAAGTCAGCAGATCAAAAAACAACCCTTTTGCATTTTATTGCTGAAATATGTGAAGAAAAGTACCGGGATATCCTAAAGTTTCCAGAAGAATTGGAACATGTAGAAAGTGCAAGCAAAGGTAATTGATTTGCAATTGCCTCAACACTCTTCTTTGCCTGTGTGTTTTATCTTAACTAGGAGGATTAAAGAGTCTATCAACATTATTAACTATAGAATATTTTGTTCATTTATAAATGCATGAGAAAAGCAAGAAGATAGTCACCCCTAACTTACCTTTCACAGCATAGTGCGATTCAGTTATCTTTCTCTCTTGACTCTTAATGCTGCTGATTTGTTGTAGTTTTCAAACCTCTGGTAACAAATGTTTGTTCTTTCCTTTGATTAACACTGAGGGATATGCATTGTTTCCAAAGGAATCATACTGGTGGGCCTCTGGTGATATGAAAACTATTTTACAAGCAGTGCTTGCTGGAGTGTGATTAAAATGTGGACGGTCTGGAAAGATAGATTAATCGCTACTTTAACAAAAATCAAGATGAGATGTGGCTACGTGCAAAGGTGATATCCTAGATTTTAGATGAGAGAGTACGTCTGAATGGGTGGATGTGAGAAGGCTTTGTAAACAAGACCAAAGAGGCAATTATGAGAAGAGGAGAAAACATGAACAATGCACAGTGGTCCAGCATTTAAGAAAAATGAGAGGAATAGTTGAATATAAGTTGGAGGAAGAAATCAGGTATCTGAGAGACTGCAGTATTAGGCTAAGTCTACTTTTCATGTGCTAGGCAATAAGATAACATTGAAGGGGCAGAATGGGCAACACTAGGCCCCAGTGAAAAACAGGAGAGGGTGGTAACAGGAATCTTTGAGATTTTAATTCTTGATAATTAGCTCTCTGTCAGTCAGTAAATAGTCTATACTCCTGGAAGAAGTTGACAGGTGAAAAAGGGATAGATCGAAGAAAAAATTTTCTGAAGGTAAGCTTCTGTATGGTTTTTTAGTTTTCATTTGTTTCGCATGACTCTGGAGGGTGAGAAAAGTTACGATCAAGGAGCCACATCGAGTGAGGGAATTCTTTTGACATCATATCATGACAGAAAATGTCACATGGAGAGAGAGGGCAAGGGATTGAACTCACAGTATCAACCCTTTTATAACTTGCATGAATTCATTCCACAAGGGTAAAACCCTCATGATCTGGTTATCTCCCCTAGGCCCCTCCTCCCAATAGAGATTTTATCTTGAGAATTGAGTTTCTAACATGTTTCTGTTTTTGTTTTTGGAGCGGGGAGACACAGACTGCTGTGGTCAGTGGTGTGTGGGTGGGTATATGTGTACGTGTTTTTGTCTAAATATGGTATAGTTAACTGTGGGCATTCAAATATATATGTAAGTATATTTGTATACATAGGGTTTTTTGTATACATAGGGTTTTATAAGTTAGACTTTAGATCATATCATATACTTCTCACTATCTCCACTGACGTAGACTATAGAGTACGATCATTTGAGCTAGATATTATAAATTTCTATCTGAAACTCTACAGCTTGTTAGTTCTGTGGACTTTAGCTAGTAATTTTTTAAAAAGGTTTATTTATTTTAATTTGTTTTTTTTAAGATTTATTTATTTTTATTACAAAGTCAGATATACAGAGAGGAGGAGAGACAGAGAGGAAGATCTTCCGTCCAGTGATTCACTCCCCAAGTGAGCACATCGCCTGGTGCTGCGCTGATCCGAAGCCAGGATCCAGGAACTTCTTCCAGGTCTCCCACGTGGGTGCAGTGTGCCAAAGCTTTGGGCCATCCTCGATTGCTTTCCCAGGCCACAAGCAGGAAGCTGGATGGGAAGTGGAGCTGCTGGGATTAGAACTGGCGCCCATATGGGATCCTGGCGCATCCAAGGCGAGGACTCTAGCTGCTAGTCCATGCCACCGGGCCCATTAAGATTTATTTACTTTAACTTGAAAGGTAGATTTTACAAAGAAAGGAAGATAGAGAGTCTTTGATCCACTGTTTCACTTTTAAATGACTGCAGTGGTCAGAGCTGAGCTGATCAGAACCTGGGAGCCGGGAACTCCCACATGAATACATGGGCCTGAGACATCCTCTGCTGTATTTCCAGGCCATAAGCAGGGATTTAGATGGGAAGTGAAGCAGCTGGGACAGGAACCAGCACTTATGTGGGATGCTGGCAAGAGCAGGTCGAGGATTAACTTGTTATGCCATCACTCTAGACCTTGAGGTAGTAATTTAAGCTTACCAGATTTTATTTCTTTATTTGAAACAAATCAACGCATTAGTAACAATTAGATTAAGTATGTTAACATATACAAAGTACCTTAAATTGCTTGAAACAAGTATCTAGGTGTTTCCATACTATTATCTTTACTAGTAAGTATAATTGTGATAATATTAATTGACATACTAGTATATTGCAATTATATTATAATGGAATAATTGTAAGGCTATCTTATATAGCTTAACTCTCAAATAAGTATGTATTATATTGAATTCTGTTGGTTTTTTTATGCCTGGGCTTCAGGTCAATCCTTTCATATTTTTCTTTTTCAGTATCACCAGCCTTTTTCTCCCTATACGTTTGAAGAGCAAAATCTCTCTGTTGTGTTTTGATTATTTCTCCTGTTGTGTATTCTTCCTGCTAGTGCATTCAAAAGACTGTTGCCAAAAAATCCTTTTCCTATCTCACTGTTAGGGCCATAGCAGTCCTCATTCTTCAAGTTATTTGACGAGTTCTTTTTCTTTCCCTATGAAATTGAGGCTCATAGCTCTCAACTCAAAAAGTTTCTTAAGCACATTCCACCTGCTTGCATCCTTCTTTCATTTTCTTCTAGTCCTCATTTCACTGTGCTCTGACATATATTCTCTTGAGCCATTTTTATTCCTTTATAATAATCCTGTCTCCATGTACAATCTCATGCTACATCCCCTGCCTGGAAATCGTACGTGCCCTGTCTTCTAAGACAACTGACTGCCATTTGTGAAATCACTGCTAAGAATCCAGTTGCTTTTGTTTTATTCTTTTTGAAATGTTTTGTTACTAAAGCCTTAAGAGAAAATAATTTCAAACTTAGTCTGCAAGAAGAAATAAAAAAGGATCAATATCAAGCTAGTATCCTCTTATTTACAGTTAGACACATTTCCTTGGTATTTGAGTCTAATTTGTCTTGCTCATTTATTCTATCAATCCTTTCTGAATCACATTCAGTCACCTTTGGTACTGTATATTCTGTTACCAGAAAAAGAAAAACAAATCAGTATTACCTAATTTCTTTTTTTCATGGTGGGCTGTTTCATTTTTACTTTTTTAAAAATTCTGTTTTATTTATTTGAAAGAGAGGGAGTGAGGAATGCAAGGGAGAGAGAGGAAGGGAAAGAGGGCAGGACAGAGGGAAGTAGACACACCCACACAAACACAAACACAAACACAAACACAAACACAAACACAAACACAGTGGGGGGAGGGGGGCAGAGGAAAGGAGGGGGGAGTGGGCAAGAGAGAGAGAGAGAGCGCACAAGCCCTAGACTGTCATAGTGGCCAGGGTGGCCCACCAGGTCCAAGGTAAGAGCCAGACGCTTTATCTAGGACTCTCATGTGAGTGCAGTGGCTCAAACACTTGGGCTGTCTTTCTCTGCTTTTCCCAGACAATTAGCAAGGAACTGTGTTAGAAGCTGAACACCTAGGACTGGGTGCAACAGCCGGAAGCGATGCTCGCATTGCAGAAGACAGCTTCACGTGCTGCACCACAACACCAACCCCGAACCGTACTGCTCTTTTAAAAAATTCCCTTCAGTTCGAAAACCAAAATAAAAATGAAATACCCATTTGAAAAACAAACACAAAACCAAAAAAAAAAAAAAGAAACAACCCCCACTGGAGGTCTATAGATAATGATTTTAGATATTTAAAAGGTGATTGTATGACTACCAATACCTGCTTCTGTGTTTTGGATTATTAGAGTATTGTTACCTAGACTAATAATGTAGGTCTATCTTGTATAATTAAAATTCATTTTATTTCAGTTCTGCAGTTATATGCCTCAAAATAACTGAGAAATGAATAAAAAGTCAATTTGAAATGAGAGAAAATGCACGGATAGAACCATGTGGTTTGCCAAAGAAAAGTTTGTGTTTTTGTTTGTTTGTTTGTTTGTTTTTATTTTTTTATGGCTAAATCAACGTTTTAATATTGGGTTATTTGCATATTATAATAAAATAGTAGCTATATTAAAATGAATTCAACTCCTCCATAATCTGTCCTTTATATTAATTATATTTCATCTTAATTCTTTCTTTTTTTTTTTTTATTGTTGCTTACATTGTATTATGTAGTACAGTTTTATAGGCGCTGGGGATTCCCCCCACCCCTCCCATACCCCTCCCCCCATGGTGGATTCCTCCACCTTGTTGCATAACCATAGTTCAAGTTCAGTTGAGATTCATTGCTTGCAAACACATGCCTAGCATAAAGTTCAGCGTCTTATTGTCCAGATAAGTTCAGTGGCCTCTTGGGGAGACCTTCTATGGTCTGAAGATAGGTCTAACAGAGTAAAGATCCGGTCAGTTAAAAGCCCCAACAAGGCCTCAGTATCAATATACAACATTATGGAATTAATTGACATAGTATTGGGTAAACAATATGTTAAAAATAATGCAAGTGAAAAGTTTGTTTTTTGAATTGCCTTTATTCTTTGTAAATCCAACCTTCTAAAATTACGGGCTTGTTGGCAAATTTGAATTGTGATATAACTTACATATTTTCTTAGAGCCATGTAGCTCAAAGATGTTGGGGGAAAACACATCATTTTTACATTAAAACAGATATATTTCATGGAGTAGAATGCAAAACAAACATGAATTTTTAAACTGTAAGATAACTTCAAAGAAATTTCATCCTTGCAGCAGATCCCTTGGGGCACATGTTCCATCTTCGCTTCCATTAGGGTGTTTTGGTGGGTAAAGTTCATGAAACAGTGCCTGAAGAATCAGAAAGTGATTTTGTTTGGGTTTTGGTATATGCAGCTAGTTAGTGAGAGGCGAGGCAAACAGAACGTGAGGCAATCACTTCCTTCTTAACAGGAACTTTTACAGTACTTAAG